AGACGGAGAGGGAGAGCACATCAAGACCGAGCGGCTGGGAGACTCGGAAAGGAGGGAGAGTGAGTCTCGTCTTTGCTCAGGGTCTGGGGTTTGTAATGAAGGTGATAGTCTGGTGTCCCTGTCCTCTCAGGCATCCAGGAAGTGGTCAGAATAAGGACCAAGGCTCTGGTGTCCTCCATAAGTCACTTATGCCCCGGGACCAGGGGTCTTGGTGTCAAGGTGTCTGGAGTCGGAGGTCTTGGAAAAAGTTCGCAGTGACCCACCTGGTCACTCCGTGGGTGTTACCTATTGTGCTGGAAGACTCCAAAGAAATCATTAGCTCCTTGACCCGTGCAAGGAGGACCTGAGGCGGGGGTGCCGGTCCTAGCAAGAATAGAAGCAGAAGGAGGAAAAAGGCAGTTTTTTTTTTTCCCCCCAAGGAGCTCCTTCTGCTTCCCCATCTCACAGTGATGGCCACGTCGGACACCTCACCCAGATCTGAGGGGAAGGTTTCCCAGCGGGAATGACACGGAAACTGAGCTGAAACATGAATGGGGATAAGCCGGATGAAGGAGAGAGAAAGTTGCAGACAGAGGCACAGCAGGCCCACAAGTGGGAGAATCTACATTCCAGAGCCTAAAACAAGTCAGCATGGCAGAAAGAGGGAGTGGAGTGCCTCTGCGTGCGTGTGCGCGCGTGTGTGTGTGCGTGTGTGTGTGCGTGTGTCCTTGAACGAGTGTCAGCATGTTGGGGGTGAGGCCAGATTACAGACATCAGAAGATGTTCTCTTGAGGGCCCTGAAGGTTTTAGGCAGTTATTCCATTTCCCGGGGAGGTGGAGAGTGGATGGGCCAGTGGCCAGCCTGACGGCCAGAAGAGGGGCGTGGCTATCAGATAAATGACCGGAGGCAATGGGATGTAAGAGACATTAGGTGTGGAATCCACAGGATTTCGAGGTGGAAGAGTGATGGGGATAGCCTGAGATTCAGGCCCAGGTAACTGACTAAATGTTGACATTTTTGGTAGTAGATGCAGAACCATTTACTAAAGGCTGCAAGGAGCCAGAGAGTCCGTATTTCTATTTTATTTGGAGAAAGTTTCAGAAGTCATCTTAACCCTGAGAAGTAACAATACTGTATTATTTCATGGCACTTTTAATATTCATGTGTTTTATCTCAATTAGCCTTGAATCACAGTAAGGTAGAGAGGAAGGATTTGAGTCCCACTGACCTATAAAGAATCCAGGGGAAAGTCCTTGTTCCTCTACTACCCTGTTCTTTTATTTTATTTATTTGACAGAAAGTTAGAGCACAAGTAGGCAGAGTGGCAGGTAGAGGGAGAGAGAGAATCAGGCTCCCCACCGAGCAGGGAGCCCGATGCGGGGCTGGATCCTAGGACCCTGGGATCATGAACTGAGCGGAAGGCAGACGCCTAACCAACTGAGCCACCCAGGCACCCCTACTACCCTGTTCTTTTAGAGCAGGGACACTACCTAGTTTTTATAGTCTGTGAGCTGAGAGCAGTTTTTACATTTTTAAGTGGTTGAAATTTTTAAAAAATCAAAAGAATATTTCATGACAAGTGAAAATTATATGAAATTCAAATTTCAGTGTTGTAGGGACAAGGGCAGGTCACCTCAAGATAGGCCACTTTAAAAAAAAAAAGATTTTATTTATTTATTTGAGAGAGAGAAAACACGCAGGTAGCGGGGCAGAGGGAGAGGATGAAGCAGACTCCTCACTGAGCAGAGAGCCCAACGTGGGCCTCAAGTCCAGGACCCCAGGATCATGACCTGAGTTGAAGGCAGATGCTTAACCGACTGAGCCACCCAGGACTTCCCCCGATGGGCCACTTTGGCAGGAAGATTATTTTGAGTTAAGAAATCAAAAGCCAGCAGATTCAGGAAAAGTGCTTTACTTCTCCAGGCAACTGTACCAAGAAGAGAGCTACTAACAGAGGTTTCTCTTTCGTTAACAAACTTAGGTGCATAGCAGGGCAAACTTTGTTTTCCAGACTTCTCTCACCTTCCTGCAAATGCTCTTCCTTCCCTTTGTTTTCCCGCACCCCGCCCCCTCCCCTGAGCTCAGGACTCCAGATAAGCCTCTGTAATTTCAGGCTGTGCGGATCACCCGTATTTAGGAAATGTAATTTGATTTACTCCTGTTCCTCCCGCTCATGTCAGTTTGATTCTTCGTCCAGCTAGAAGGATCTTGGAGGGCAGAGGAAATCCGCCCTCCCCAACAGTAACCGTAATTTAAAAAGTTTATTGAAACATGCTGGGGGAAGGGGTTTTGGGAGAGGGCGGCGGGGTTATGGACATTGGGGAGGGTATGTGCTATGGTGAGTGCTGTGAAGTGTGTAAACCTGGCGATTCACAGACCTGTATCCCGGAGCTAAAAATACATTATACGTTTATAATAAATAAATAAATGAATGAATGAATGAATGAATGAATGTTTATTGAAACAGCCACACCCGTTTATTCCACGTGCTGTCCGTGGCCGGTTTGTTGCTACAAAGGCTAGCTGGAGCAGTGTTCTCGGAGAACGTAAGTGGCCCGACAAGTTCAAAACATCTACCTTCTGGCCCTCTACGGAGTTTTCTGGCCCCTGTTTTACGAGCACCACTGTCTTGCCTTTTTCAAAACCACACAATGAGCTTTCTGGTCTTTAGAGGACAGGAACCGGTTGCCATGCCTGTACCCCTGGTTAAGCATTCCAGCAATGAACTAGATCGGTGCGCTCACCGGCTCCCGCAACTCCGCTCCGCTCTGGGAAAACTCTCCAATGCCTGCACCCCTCAACAACCAAGCTCTTAACCAACTGTCTCCCCACTACAGCGTGTCTCTTTTTCAGGCAGGAGCACAAAAGTCTTGCGGCTCCCCCACCATCGTGTAGCGCTGAGGGCATACCCAGCTCATTGACTTCTCCCTACAACCCCACCAGGTGGGCTCTGTTCTCCCCGTCCCCATTTCGCAGTGGCAGGACTGGGGGCACAGAGAGGCTGCGCCACCTGCCCCATCTCGCGCAGGTGACAAGTGATGGAGGCACAATTGGAAGCCACAGTGTCCGGATCGGAGCGCCTGCCCGGCTCAGAGAGCCCCCCACCCCAATAGCCTGGAGGGGGTGGGTAGCATCTCTCCCGGCCGGGAGGGGCGCGGAGGTCCCGGGGCAGCAGAACAGGCAGGGAGGGGCGGCGCGTGGCGCGAGAGGAGCCCCCCGGTCCGGAAATAACGGAGCGTTTCCCACGCCCGCCCCCCGCCCCCAAAACCCCTCCCCCCAGACCACCGCTCCGCGGAGGTGGCGGGCGGCGAAACGCTGAGTCACGGTGAGGCTACCAGCTCAGGCGCCCTCCCAGCCCTGCGCTAAATGCCCGCGCCCCGCGTCCCGCGCCGCCTCCGCAGGGGACCGGAGGCTCGAGGGGGTGCTGCGCTCCTGGTGCGCCCGCCTTCCCCAGCAAGCCCGCGACTCCGGGGGAGGCTCTCGGGAGGTGACGGGAGATGCTTAAATAGGACTCAGGCATTGGGCAAAAAGTGCCAGGCGGCTTTCCTGTCTGCAAAGTACCGCGGTCTGGTAAGCACCTCGTCAGTTGTTCGCCTGCGTAGAATTTACGGGGCGGGAGTTTGGAAGGACCTAGAAGTGGCGCGCGTAAAGCCCTCCCTGGTTTCTTGTTAGGGAGGTGATGTCGGTTCTGTACCGCTCTGAGGATTGAATGCCTTTCTGAGACCCCACTGTCCAGCACCCAATAAGTATTGATTGATTGCTTGCCCGGGGGTTCGGGGGGAAACTCATTTTGACGGACGGGCCGGCCGTTACCGAATGGAGTGCTCTGCCTAACAGCACCTAGCATTCCTAGAGGGCTGACCACACTCCTTTGAGGTAGGCAGTCTTAGTACCCCTAGTTCATAGATGGAAAAACTGAAGCACAGAGAGGCTTAGGAAGTGGCCTCGGGGCACACAGCAGGTGCCTGGTGACGCCGGGATCCAAACCGGCGCTCTCAGGTCTATGCTTCTTGCTGAAGCGTCTTTGGTGATTTGAGTAGGAATCTTTGAACGAATGGGTTGTCTTTCGCTTGAAAATGAGTTTTAGAGATTTGGCGGCACGCTGTGCAACCATTTGAAGCGGAGGAGAGGTGTGTTGTGTTTGTTCTGGGATACTCCGTTCTGTACAACTAACTGGCCCACAGAGAGAAAACTCTTTTGAATAACAATGGTGGGGTATAGACGGGTCTTCAAATACAGGATTGGTGTCAAGGACACTTCCTCCTTCGGTTTCTTGCGCTCTTGAAAACTTCCTGACAAAGCTCAAAGATTTCTTGCCACTCAAGTTGGCCCTGAACTTGAGGGATAGATGGATCTTTGAATTTGGTGATCCTCGAAGACCCTTTCGGTGCCAAGATCTTAAACGTGTTTTGGTGAGAGTCACAGACCTCACGGATTTCCTCCGTGTTCCCATAGTCACCACGTAAATCTCTCTCAGCCTCCCCGTAGCACCTCCCTCGTGGGGCAGCAATGAGGGGTGGGGGAGGTTGAGAAATTGCAATGAGATAAAGCAGATAAAGGGGCGCCTGGCTGGCCCGATCAGTTGAGCATGCAGCTCTTAACCACGGGGTCCCGAGTTCCAGTCCCACGTTGGGTGTGGAGCCGGCTTCAAAAAAAAAAAAAAAAAAAGGCAAGCAGGTAAAGCACTCATTAGAGGTTAGTAAGTGCCCAGCAGAGCTGTTATTGCTAAACCTTGTAAAAGATGGCTGTAGGATTGCATGAGATTGCAAATGATTAGTGGTACTAATGTATTAGTGCTCATACATGTTCACCAGCATTATTGTTTTAAATTTCCTAACCCAGGTCTTCTACAGACTAAGCAGCCGATATATTGTAGCTGTTAATATTTTGGGCAGGTCTGAATTTAATATCCCTTATTTCGTGGTCTTTGGATGTGTCCTCCTTATGATTTTTCTTTTTTGTTGCCCCCCCCCTTGAGGGGCAACACCTCAGCGTTGGAACACTCTTTTGAGACTTCAGCATGGCATCCTCCAAGAAAGTGATCCTGTCCATGCTCAGCCGCGAGCAGAGCAGTCGGAAGGGTTTGGAGCCAGGGTCCGCCGAAGCATTAGCAGACCCGAGGTAAGCTGCTGGGGGAGCTGTTTTCGTGCTTTCCTGCAGAAGGCGCTGGTGGGACCTGAGGCTTACCTTGGGAAGAGAGGGCTTGGGGCAATCATGACCTGCCTTATGGGGGGGCCACAGGGGCGAACTCTCAGGGGGTTTCACTAACTTGGGCACAGAGGTCTGGCACAGAAGGTGCAGCTGAAGCCTCTCCACCCCTCTCCGCATTTGCTCCCGTTTTCGCTCGTCCTACCCTGAGTTGAGCCACCAGCCTGAGCATGCACATCACCAAACATGCCCACCTTATAGCCCCAAGTTGACTCCCCCGCAATTCAAGGCACCAAGGAGTAACATTAGGTCCCGGTTCCAAATTCCCAGGCGAGAGCATCTTCTTGGCTTGGTTTGGGTCCCTTCTCCCTCCCCCTTGGCCAGTTAGTGTTGCGAAGGATTTGGGTTTGTGGACAAACCACAGAGACCCAACTCTGTGGACCTCCTGTGGGGATGGGGGTGTGAGAAGGCTTCTCTCATAGATGATTTTAGGTTAGGTAGACCTCCTTCAGCATGAGATAGCAGTTTTATTTGAAAATTGCAGAGGATGTGGGACTTGCAGGAAAGAACATCTTATTTGTACAGAAAGGTATCAAGTGGTGATTATAGTTCATAGAAAATAGTGCTCATCACCATCCCAGATTCCAAAAACATTTTTTGATTGCAGTATAACTAACCTATGACATTGTAAGATTCAGGTAAACAACCAAAGAACACAGAGATTTGAACTTTATATATATTGCAAAACAATCACCACAATCGGTCTAGTTAACATCTGTCACCATACGTAGTTAGACAACTTTTTTTTCTTGTGATGAGAACTTTTCAGATGTACTCTCTTAGCAACTTCTAAGTGTGCAGAACAATGATGTTGATTACAGTCACCATGCTGTACATGACATCCCCGGGACTTACTGATATCATAACTTATAACTGGAACTGAGTACTTTTTGAGCACCTTGACGTATTTCGCCCACCTCCTCCCCCACCTTTGGCAAAAACCATGAAGCTCTTCTCTGTGTCTGTGCGCTTGGTTCATTTATTTATTTTCTGATTCCACATGTAAGTGAGCTCTTATGGTATTTGGCTTTCTCTATTTCACTTAGCATAATGCCCTCAAGATCTACCCACGTTGTTACACATGACAAGATCTCATTTTTTATGACTAAGTAGTATCTCAGTGTGTGTGTGTGTGTGTGTGTGTGTGTGTGTGTGTGTGTGTGTGAGTACAACATATATATCATATTTTCTTTTTCCATTCAGTGGGTATTAGGGTGGTTTCCATGTCTTGGCTATTGTGGAAAAATGCTGCAATGAATGTGGGGGTGCAGATCACTTTCTGGAAGTTAGTGTTTTTGTTTTCTTTGGGTGAACACCGAGAAGTGGGATCGTGGATCATATGGTAGTCCTACTGTTAATTTTTCGAGGAACCTCCTACTGTTTTCCATAGTGGCTGCACCAATTTACATTCCTACTGGCAGTGCACAAGGGTTCCTTTTCCTCCACACCCTTCCCTTCACTTGTTATTTCTTGGCTCTCTGATGCTAGCCATTCTGACAGGTGTGAGGTGATCTCTCACTGTGGTTTGGATTTGCATTTCCCTCCCTGGTGATTAGTGATGTTGATCATCTCCCCTCTGCCGCCAGATATTTTTGAATAAAGGAAGAAGTATATTAGGGAAATGGATTATTTTTTATTTTTTTTAAGATTTTATTTGTTATTTATTTATTTGTCAGAGAGAGGTGGGGGGAACACAAGCAGGCAGAGGCGGAGAGAGAGGCAGGCTCCCTGCTGAGCAAGGAGCCCGATCCGGGACTCGATCCCAATACCCTAAGATCATGACCTGAGCCGAAGGCAGCGGCTTAACCGACTGAGCCACCCAGGCGTCCCTGGATTCTTTTTAAAAAATGAAGTCAGTTTGTTCTTCTGCCTAAAATCGGCTCTTTCGTTTTCACCTGTGAATGTCATTGGGGGTCCATCAGACATTGTTTTCCAAAGGGTTACACGCAAATAAGGGTTACATGCAAACAAGATTATTCTAAGGTCTAAATGGACAGTGGGTGTTGGGGACACGGAGATGGATGTGCTATCATATTCTACTAGGCCACATCACTGAAAGAACAATTATGAGGAATTTGGACACCCATTAGTAAAGCCATTATTGTGTGTCGAGGGTGGCTAATTCTTTAATGACTCCATCTGTCAGGACACATCTGCTGAAGCTTTCTAAATATTTTTAGTCCTGTCAACCCCTTTCATAGTCTGATGAAACCAACGCGTTTCTTCTCAGAGTAACATCTATTTTTTAAGATTGTATTTATTTGATGGAGAGGGAGAGTGAGAGAGCACAAACAGGGGAGTGGCAGAGGGAGAGGGATATGAGCTCGTGACCTGAGCTGAAGGCAGATGCTTAACCCACGGAGCCACCCAGGTGCCCCAGAATAATATTTTTTTAATGTGTGAAATAAAATACATAGGATTACAAAGGAAAACATATGGCAATATGGTGAGCAGAATATTACAAAACAAATTTATAATCTAGTAACTTGCATGAAGTAACAAGACTCAGTGGCAGGTCATATCACTACCTAATTTCAAAGCTGCGAGGGACATGGATAGTAATAGTTCCCTATACTGGGGCACCCGGGTGACTCAGTCAGTTGAGCCTCTGACTCTTGGTTTCAGCTCAGGTCATGATCTCAGGGTCCTGAGGTTGAGCCCCACCCCCCAATAAATAAATAAATCTTTAAAAGAGTAGTTCAGTATACCTGTAGCAACTGTCACGTTATATGAAACAGCTTTGAGTTCTAGTGGTGACAGGGTCGCAGGTGCTGGTGATTTACTGTCCTGCTTTGACTGCATTCATGGTTAAAGTATTCCAGGGGCGCCTGGGGGGCTCAGTGGGTCAAAGCCTCTGCCTTCGGCTCAGGTCATGATCCCAGGGTCCTGGAATCGAGCCCCGCATCGTGCTCTCTGCTCAGTGGGGAGCCTGCTTCTCCCCCCGCCCCTGCCTGCCTCTCTGCCTACTTGTGATCTCTGTCTGTCAAATAAATAAATAAATAAATTTAAAAAAAAATAAAATAAAGTATTACATTCCAGCCTGAAGATGGCTGCTGGGGACGCTTGCTTACTTACCAGTGTGAATGTACTTCCTGACACTGAAGTGTTTACTTAAAAAAAAGTTAAAATGGTAAATTTTCTTATGTGTATTTTACTACCAAAAAAAAAATTCCAGATGAAAAAGCAATTTTCAGTTAGAGGTTAGTGAAAATCAAGACGTAATTTTTTTTCCCAGCCGAACTTATAGCTGCCCTGAATTCTATCCGTGGTACCCAGTTAAGAGTGCCTGGCTGAAAACCCGTGCTTTAAAGACCCCCACATTCTACTGATTCAGAGGGTCTCCCATTTATGCCTCTACCCTAAGGAAAAATATGTGGATTGGAATCATTCCTAATGCTGTCACCCTGGTTTAATCATGATTAAGACAGAGAATGTTTCCTTTTTTCTCCATTATAGCTGTATGTTTTACATAACGGGGATTATATAAACTAAACAAATTTCTGTCCTTGTTTTTTCATTTAACAGGGTAACATAAGCACTTCCCATGGAATTATAAATTCTTCATGCACATCTTTTTTTTTTTTTTTGAGAGAGAGAGAGAGAGAGAAGAGTGCACGCACACGTGTGAAGCCAGGAGGGGCAGAGGGAGAGAGAGAATGTCAAGCAGGCCCCATGCGCAGTGCGGAGCCCGACTTGGGGGCTCGGTCTCACGATTCTGAGATCACAACCTGAGCTGAAATCAGGAGTCCGATGCTTGACCGACTGAGCCAACCCAGGCAGTCCCTTCACGAACATCATTTAAGTCGCTGTGACATGTTCCTGTGTCCGGCACACTGTTACTGTCTTAGTCATGGACCTACTTTGGACCATTTAGGTTGTCACCATACTGTTAGCGTGGCAGAAGGGCAGACCCCCTCACCCTCCAATCCGCAGAGAAGGGAAGCACTGATGTGGTTTCGGGGCGGTACGTTTTAAACTTTTTGTGCCAAGGCTTCGTCTCTAAAGAAACATCGCCAACCCTTTGGAGCCCAGAGCTATTTTAGTGTAGAATTTACAACAGTGTTTGGTATGAGTGGCCCTCAGTGACCGGTTCCTTATGGCCGTAAATGAGGAAGTAGAGGTATTTACAAAGCTTTCACTGAGCCTTTTGGTGATGAACAATATGGCAGAGATGAGGTGGGGTTGGCTTTCATTAGGATTCTGTGTGGGCCAAGGCTACCAAGCTGGAACGTGGATGATGATTGCATAGCGCGATGTTCGTGGCTCCCTTGGCTGTGCCCCCAGCAGGAGGGAAGCCGACTCCTTTGTACCCGCCTCTGGGTACACTCCTTGGTGGAACATGATTTTCCTGGGGCCAGTCTCAGACATTTTTTTTTTAATCATGAAGAATTGCAAACTTAGAAAAATAGAGAAAAGAGTGTAATGAGTCCCCATGTACCCAATCTCCATAGTGATCAACTCACGGACATTTTCGTTTCCTCTATATTCCCCATCTGTTCCTGCACTCAAAGTATTTTATTTTATTATTTTTTTAAAGATTTTATTTATTTGACAGAGATCACAAGTAGGCAGAGAGACAGGCAGAGAGAGAGGAAGGGAAGCAGGCTCCCTGCTGAGCAGAGAGCCCGATGCGGAGCTTGATCTCAGGACCCTGGGATCATGACCTGAACCGAAGGCAGAGGCTTTAACCCACTGAGCCACCCAGGCACCCCTGCATTCAAAGTATTTTAAAGGTGAATCATTCCATTTTCCTTGTAAATATTTCAGTTTGTGTTTCTAAAAGATTGCAACTTTAAGAAATTAAACTATAACCCCATTACATACTTAAAAATTATGAATCTCCTGATATCGTCAAATAACCTTGAGAAATCTTGGTCCTGATTGATACAGCCTGTGTAGATGGCGCTGTCCAT